TCACGGGCGTCGCGGGCTCGGCCGCGGCAGTCCTGGCTCCGCGGCCCCGGCGATTGTGGCGACGGCAGCTGTGAGGGCGGCGACCTCGCGGGGCGACGGCGGAGGTGGCGGCTGCGACCTCGCCGCAGCCATCTTGACAACCAACCGACGCCGCGTCCTTCGCGACGGAAACCAGGCGGAACGCGGGGCGGGGCCGCGGGCTGGGGGCGTGGCCAAGCGGGCCGGCCGGCCCAAAGCGGGCTGGGTCGGCTGAGGTCCCCCGTGGGGAGTGGAGGCAAGCTGAGGCAAGAGGAGGTAAACTGAGGCACTCTAAGGTGAGGTGAGGTTAAACTAGGGAGAGCTGAAGCAAGCGGAGGTAGAATTGGAGTGAACTGAGGCAAGTTAAGGCAAGGTTGAGTTGTGTAGTAGTGGTTTCACCGAGACTTCTTATTACTTATGAAAGCTTGGCTTATAGCTTAGGCTTATTCCCAACTAGCTCTTATAACTTAAATCAATCCATTTATAGTAATCTACAATCTATCATGTGGCATTACCTCTCCTCCATCTTTCCCCCACACCCCAGAGCTGAGGACCGAACCCAGGGCCTTCCGCTTCCAAGCGCTCTACCACCGCTAAATCCCAACCCCACCTCTCTTCCATCTTGCACCTCCTGTTTCTCCTCACGTCTTATGGACCTAGGTTATCTCCTCCTGCTACCTGTCTGCCTGGAAGTCCCACCAATACCTCCTGCCTTGGTACTGGCTGTTCAGCTGTCTATCAAACCAACCACAGCAATATCTGTGCACACAGTGCACAAATGACCCACAACAGAGTTGGGCAGATGGCAGAGCATTTATTTCTGGGAACCCCAGTTGTGAGAGAGTTCAGCTGAACTATGATTTAGAGCTTGATTCGGGTCTCCCTTTTTATAGTGTTTTCTTGAGAGTATTAACAGATGAAAGACAGGGCATGGAAAATCCCTAGATATGGACAGGTATTACTTGGCAGCTTGGAAATAAGTATTTGGTTTGTAATTTGCTAGGTACGGAATCCTGTGTTGAAGTTTTAGGTCGTGAGACTTTCCTGGGTATCATTCTCTTGAAAATCACTATCTCTTAAAAAAGAAAAGAAAAGAAAAGAAAAGAAAAGAAAAGAGAAGAGAAGAGAAGAGAAGAGAAGAGAAGAGAAGAGAAGAGAAAAGAAAAGAAAAGAAAAGAAAAGAAAAAAGAAAAGAGAAAAGAAAAGAAAAGAAAAACAGCCTTGTGAAGTGGAAAATTTCTTTCCCTACTTGCTGTCCTCCATGCCTTGATACTTCTGCACCCCCTCTCTACTGCTCTACTTATAACGACTCTACTTCAAAGAATTCTTCTGGTCCTTACTTGGCTGCCAGATTCTGCAAATGGACCATCACGGCAAAAGTGGCCTGAAAAGAAGTCCAGATTTAGCTTAATCTCCTGGGAAGATGTGCCAGAAGAGATCATCGTATTGAAATGTTTCTGTATGGGAAATTAAACAGAGTTTTGAGCCACTAGGTTAATGGCTATGTAAGTGAAAATTTGGAACAAGGCTGGGCCTTTTTGTTGGAGCCCAATGTAAAAGCATGAATTTTGATTGGATTTTAGTTAGTTTTAAATTTTTACTTTATATTTTTTGTGTATAAAAATATTTTATACACAAAATAAAAATTTTGTATATAAAAATAAAAATAAAAACAATCCCAGATTGTTTAACAGAATGTATAGACCAAAGAAAGATCACTCCCCACTATTCAAATATCTTTGCCTTTGGGAACTTCTAACAATTCAAATAACAAACCTTTTCAACTGAAACTATTTAAAACAGACTTTTTTTCCCTTTCAAATGGAGATATACTGATTCACATTGAAATGCGTTCAGGGGACTGATTTTTAACTGCAAAGTGCTTAAGTTTCCTTCAATATCATGGCAAGATGACAAAAGAAAACACATAACACTAACAAAGGAAGGAAAATATGAATGCTAGGACAGTTAGCTATGTTGGCGACTTTTTGAATGTCCTAGCCACAAGCATTGGCCCTGATTCTGTTCCCAATGCTATCATTAGCACTCTGTCTCTCCAGGACTAGTTTGAACCTTAGCAAAGTAGGGCACTGCAAAGGGCAAAGAAAAGTGAGAAATGTGTGGTTGCTATTTGCAATATTTGCATTTTAGCTTTTCGAAGTGTTTTGCTTAGACTGTATTATTTAGTACGTGGAAAACCCTAGCCACATTACTGTTGTTTTGCTGGTATATTAATTAATACTAAGAAGCATGATTTTTCATCAACATGGTGTCATTCTGGAATCCCGGCACTTGGAAGATGGAGCCAGGAGGATCAGTAATTCAAGATCATCCTTAGCTAGCCTGTGCTGCTTGAGAGCCTATCTAAAAAACCCACAAAGAAAAAAGCCATGATTAGTTTTCTCAATCCTCTACAAGTGCTTGCTCATGTAATTATTCTTCACTTAAGTGTTGCTTTGTAAAGGTAATAAAATATAAAAGAAACATTTAACTTAAGGTTATTATCAATTTTTTAAAACTACAGGCTTGTTGATTTCTAATTCTTTTTTTCTTCAAAATATTAAGCTGGTTTTCCTACATCCTATTTAAGAGATTCAGTCCTAGCTTGTAAAAAACAAGGAGTTGAGAGGCAATAAAATGAAAGGTGAAATACTTGGATAATAGATAATTTGAGGATTTTTATAAAGTTTGTCTTTTGCAAGGAAAGTGATTGTGAGGTCTTTAGATAGTAAAATGCTTGCAAACACAAGGGGCTGTGTTCAGATCCTCACACCCACAGAGAAAGCCGGTGTGGTGTTCTGTAGGCCTAGCACTAGGGAAGTGCTGATGTCGGGGAAGCGGAGACAGGCAGATCTTGCTCACCAGCTTGTCTAGCTGAAATGGCAAGCTTTGGGCTCAGTTAAGGGACCCTTGTCTCAAAAGCTGAGGTGGAGAGTGCTGGAAGACAGCCCATGTCAACCTCTGACATCCACAAACATCTGTGTGTGCCTGTGGGCATGCATGCACTCATTCCAGCACACACAGATGTACACGCATAAAGAATAAAACTAAAACACCAATATTTTGTCATAAAACACATCCTAATTAAATTTAATACTTAATTATTTTATATTTTTTAACAATACAACTCATTTATTAAGGATGTGCATCTCTCTCTCTCCCTGTCCATCTATTTCTCACATCACATCTGCTACATGCCAACTACTTTCCAGTTGCTGGGGATTTAGTGTGAATAAACTTGAGAACAGGCTGGAGAAGTGGCTCAGTGGTGGAGACCACATACTACTCTTGTAGATGAGAGGGCTGGGGAGCCAGACCAGAGCCATCATGGGTTTCCAACAGCCCTGCAGGGGACCAGGCCTTAGGTTCGTTTTACTGGAACTGGCTGGAGCTGAGCAAGCAGTTCTGGGAAAGACAACTCAGGGGCAACCAATCAGCAGGCACCCCACAGCCTTCTGCTAGCTAAGGATAGCTTTCCCTACCCTGTACCTGGAAGGTCCCTAACCACTAGAGCCTCCCACCAATAAGCCCCCAGACTAACCCAGACTAATCTTTCCTCCATCAATCAGCACCAGATTAATCCCTCCTTCCTGGAAGCCCCCTAACTGCACTTAAAGGGAGCTTGTGACTTCCCTTTGGGGACCACTATTTGCTACCCCAACCTGTTGGAAACAATAAACACTCTTGCTAAATTGCATATGTGACTGTTGGTCTTTCTTCGGGGCTTCTCTCAGACCCTAACAGTAGACAACTAGAGTTTGATTCCCAGCATCCATACCTAGTGGTTTACAACTGCCTGTAAGTCCAGTTCAAGGGAGATCTGATGTGTCTGCCTCTGCAGGCACCCACACAGACATTCATGTCAGTAAAAAAGTAAAAAATAAAAAAATAAATAAATAATCTTCAAAATATTGTGGTCTGAAGTTTATATTGAATTCTCTTTTCCCAGTGGAATATATTAGGTACCAAAAACTACTTTAGAAAAGAGTAGTTGTGTGGAGGGGGGGAGGGGAGGGGGAGGGGGAGAGGGAGGAAAGGAGAGGAGAGAGAATTGTTGCAGATCTACTTAAGACAGAGTGCTCAAGGATGTCCTCTAAAGAAGGGAAATTGGGTCTGAATAAAGGAAAGAGATTATGACTCAGATAGCTGGATGATGAGTGTAAAGAAATACATAACCTACATTTGGTGGGGTCTTACAAGGTCCTAGTGTAAAGCCAACTTTTAGTGGAGAGAAGGGCATTTGGGAGTTAACATCACCTAACTTAGAATGGAGCACTGTAGTTGCTATGGGGGAACTACAGTACAGAGGATAGGACTAGAAACAAAGAGGAATAACCTGAAGGCTGTCACAGGGTGTTGAGTGGAGGTTGGCAAGAGACAGGTTTATGATTGCAGTGACAGAGATGACAAGAGCTTAAAGTCTGAACCTTTAGCCAGTAAGGTGTGTAGATGGATGGTTGTAGCAAGTGCAAGGAGAAAGTCATATGACCTTCGGGACATGAGTAATGGCTTAGCAGGTAAAGACATTGGCTACCACATCTGGTGACCTGAATGGAAGGCACATTGTGGCAGGTGAGAACCGGGTCCTGAAAGTTGTCTTTTGACCTCCACAGGTTTGCAAGGGTGCTGTGGAATATTTTTCTGTATGCCGTGAATATGTGTTGCTCTGATTGGTTGATAAATAAAGCTGCATTGGCCTAATGGCAAGGCAGCTTAGAGGCGGGTGGGAAATCCAAGTAGAGAGACAGAAGAAGGGCGAAGTGAAGAAAGGCCATCTGCTGCCAAAGGAGCAGCAGGAAGCCAGCAGAATGGTAGTCACAGCCACGTGCCAGCTTATAGATTAGTAGAAATGGGTTAAGTCATAAGAGCTAGCTAGCAAGAAGCTGAAGCCATAGGCCATACAACTGGTAATTAATATTAAGCCTCTGAGTGATTATTTTATAAGCGGCTGAGGGACTGCAGGGCTGGGTGGGACTGGAGAAACTTCCAATGGCTACACAAGGGCCTGTTACATGGGTACATGCACACACTGATGGTGTCGTTAGTTGTTTTTTACTCTTTTGGGGGCCCGCCACCCAGCTCCTAAAGAAATCACACATGGACCTTTACCTTTCTCTATTTCTGTATACTTTTCATTATTTCTTACTTTGTGGGTGGATGGCCCCTGATGTCCTCCTCCTCCTCTGGCAGCTTCCTCATCCCAGATTTTTCCTATCTATCCTCTCTGCCTGCCAGCCCTGACTACTTCTCTCTCCCTGCCTTACTATTGGCCGTTCAGTGCTTTATCAGACCATCAGGTGTTTTAGATAGGTACAGTAACACAGTGTTAAACAGAGTTAAACAAATGCAACATAAACAAAAGTAACACACCTGAAAATAATATTCTACAACCCACTGATATAAAAAATTAAAATGACCTTCCAATTGGAATAATGAGCACTGTGATTTACTAAAATGGGAAGGAAAGGTAGGAGTGGGGTGGGCCTTTTCAGCCCCATCCATGCTGGAGTGCTGAGCAGCTCGATCCTGTGGGAGCTGCTCCAGCCGCTGCAGAGGGAGATCAGGAAGGGTTAAAGAAAGAAACAAGAGGCTTCAGCTTCATTAACACCACCTCACAACCCAATAATGCTCTACTTACAAAAGAAACTAAAAGCCATTTTATTATTATAAAATGATCTCAGTGGAATCTGTACTAATAGGAAAACTTGAGACAAATTAAATTTAGTAGGGTTTATTGAACAAAGAGTAACTATTGAATCAGACAACCCTCAGAATCGGGAACAGTTCAGAGAGCTCCAGCCATGTAGCCACAGGCTTTTATATGTTCCACACAGAAACAAAATAGAGAAATCTGACTGGGCACAACCAGACAGTTTTAAAACAAGTTAAAAAACTAAAGATTTATTTTATGTGTAGATGTATTTTGCTTGCATGTACACACCATGTGTGGGGTAGTAAGAGAGCATTGGATCACCTAGAATTGGAGTTATGCTTGGTCGTGAGTCCCCACATGGGTTCTGGGAACCGAAATAAGATCTTCTGTAAGAACAAGTGCTTTTAGCTGCCGAGCCACCTCTCCGGTCCTAGCTAGGTATTTGTTATATCGCTCGTGGTTTAATCTGTTGGATATCTGCTATTGGCTGAAGCTCAGCTGTTTATGTTGAGCTGAAATATAGCCATTCATTACCAAAAATATGCTCTTAGGGTAGGCTATGGTATTTCTAATAGAGGAATTCTCGGAGTATGAGTCAGCCTCTTCGACGACTCCTGCTTATTTAATCTCACAGCGGCTACAAACTCGCAGGTCCCGAGGCACCGGGGATGGGAAGTCTTTGTGCTTTCGCTTTGATCTTGTCTGAAAATATTTCTTTCCTATTTTCTGCAGAAGTACTTTCTTGTACAAATGAGTTTCCCAAGTTTATCTCTGGGAAAGCTGTGAAAGAACAAAGTATTTTAAGTTCTATCTGATTTAGAATGCGGAAGATAGTTTCTTCTTCATTCAGTTTCGTAATAATTTAGCTAGAAGCTTAAAATTAAAAGTGCATACTCATCTATTAATGTATTATTGAGGTCACTCATATTGTACACAGTGTTGGAACTGCATATAGATGAAGTGAAATAATAAAAAAAGTGACACTATGTCATATTTGATTGCTTGTTGCTCCTAACATAGTGTGTTAAGTATGGGTATATTTTACCTAATTTAATCCACTCAGTGATTCAAGTTCTATACAAGAGGTAATTGAGCTATGGCAATATTGGAGAAATTTCTCCAAGGTTCACGAGTAAGGGAATGGTGAAATCAAGGTACAAACCAGGCAGTCTACACTTGCACCCTCTTCTATTGCTTTGCTGGTGAACCCCTGAGAAAGCAGTTTCAGTAAATAATAGATCAAAGTGTTTGGGGTTACAGTTGGCAGCGAGGAAGTAAAGGCAAGAAAGAGGCGATAAGTTTAAGATATTTCTTTATTAAGTAAATATTTGTGTGCCTACTGTGGACAAGCCACCATACCACCACCATCAGAACAGTGGCTCTGCTTTGACTCGGAAAGGAGGTGGAGAAGATCATATTTTGAATGAGAAGCCAGGCCCAAGGGCACTTTACTTCATTTCTTTATTTTTGAAATTAGTGACGTCTTAAGCATGTTTCTAGAATGAAAAGAAGCCATTGTAAAGGAAAAAATTTAAGACTCAAATTAGATATGGATCTTTGAGAAAATCTTTTTTAATTTAAAAATATTTTAAATTCATTCTTTGACACAATTTCACATATGTGTACAATATATCTTGATCAGATTAACTCCCAGTTTACCAATCCCATTCCTTCTGTGTTCCCCCAACATGTGGGAACCTTCATATCCTTTAAAAAAATAACCCCAAGCTCAATTATTGCTGTCTCCATGAACATGGATAACTTCCCTGCAGCAATATATCTGAAGAAAAATGGCTCCCCTTCCCCAGAAATCATAATTGCCGGTTCACCACCTTAGCTACAGGTGGAGTCTGATGGCCCCTCCTTTGTCCATGCTCATGTTTTTGACTGGCTGTGAATTCTCGGGTGCAGCGACCATGTTCTGTTCATAGGACAGCAATCCACAGCATCCTTCCCCATCCTCTGGCTCTCACCGCACGTTCCGCTCCCTGTGCTGTGCTGTTCTCTGCGCCTTGGGAGTGTTGATATAGATGTCCCATTTAGAGCTGAGCACATAACAGTCACTTTGTCTCAGCACTTCGGACAGGTATGAGTCTCTCCATTGACTACTGCTCACTGCAAGAAGCTTCTCTGACCAAAGTTGAGAACAGCACTAATCTTTGGCTATACGCATAAATATTTTGAAGGCAGTCTGACAGACAGGTCCACTTAGCAAAGCAAAGGTAGGAGCTCCCCCTGCCCCAGATGTGGGCTTTTCGACCAGGTTTACAGCACCAAGTGTGGATGTTCTGTGGAGCAGGCCTGCACTCCGACTCTGTACAGGTCATGTCACGGCTGTACCTGTGGACACATCTTGCCTGGAAGGTCAGTGTTGCAGCATGCAGGGTGCCCACTGGGTAAGTGGAGACTTTTCTGCCCCAGTGGAGTGCATAGCACCTTCCAGTACTAAGAAGTCTAGCCAGTAGGGGAGACATTTCCAGGTCAATTCCAACTGAGTTTTCTGTGCCTTATTGCCAACTGTATTTACCAATAGGATTTTATCATCTAGTTTTGATAAGAAACAGAGCAACAGCACTAACCTACATTGTTTTGGTGGCTTCTGGGGTTACCATGACTAGCACTATGTCTTCTGGGTGAAACATTTATCCACCAGCTTTGTTCAAACTCCCCTTTTTAAAAAATTTTTTTTCTTTTTAATTGGCTTACAAATTAGTGGGTTTCCAAAACCTTTTTCATATATCCTTAATTTTGGTTAACTCACTGCTACCTCCCTCCCCTCTACCTGACACTCTCACCCCAACCTAAGCCTTTAACCCCACGATTCCCCCTCTGCTTTGATATCACATGTGTTCTCTGTTTCCCTCTTGTGTTTTCTTTCCCTCTTCCTAATTATGGGTCCTTTGTAGCTTCCTGACCTCTACAGACACACCAAAATAAACACACAATTCTAACAGTTGGAAGCTAGGACCCACACATGAGAGAGAATGTGCAGCTTTTGTCTTTCAGGCCTTGGGTTGCCTGATTAGTATAATGTATTCTAGTTCCATCTATCTTTCTGTAAATTTTATTCTTTTAAAATGATATAAAATTTCACTGTATATCTGTACCACATTTTCATTGTCTGTTTATCAGGTGATGGACATCTCAGCCGATTCCATTTCCTACCTATTATGAATATAGCAATAGTGATCATGGATGTGCATATATCTCTGTAGTAGGATGTGGAGTCTTTTGATTATATTCCCAGAGGGTCACATGGCAGTTTCCAGAAAATGACCATTTTCAGTAAATAACAGTTCAGGATTTTTGAAGTTTTACTAATGTAGTTGTAAAATACACCAATCAATTGACACCAGAAATGTGGTACTTACCTGGTTAATATGACCATTGATGATTAAATCTGGCTAAAATACTTTTTAAAAAAGTTTAATTATCAACTTTGGATGTCCATGTTGAATGAATCTCAATACTCAAAGGTCACGTCAACATACTGGCTCCTGCTCTGCCAGCTGTCTCTACTTCATATTTTTATGAAAGCCATTTTACAGTTAAAAATTTTAATTTTATGTGTATAAGTGTTTTGCCTGCATGTATCAATGTATATCTGTGTGCCATATGTTTACTTGCTGCTCAAGGAGGCCAGAATAGGGCATTAGATTCCCTGGAACATTATGTGGGTAATGAGATCAAAGCCGGTCCTGTAGAGGACCAGCCAGTGCTCTTAACCACTGAGCAACTTCTATAGTCCAGTTTACAATTTTCTGAGCTAAAAAATCCATTTCATAAGAATTAGATGACTTTATAAAACACATGGGTTTGTGCTGTAGGTAGAAGCAATGGGAAAGATGTGTGTCAGCTGAGGTGTGAGTGTTGCTAGGAGCTGCCTTGTTTTTCACCGAAGGGTGTTGTTTCAGATGAGGGCACGGAGCTGGTAAGTACTGGCGTCTATTTGTGCTGTACACCTTCCAGAAAGGGCATGGAAGCAAGTAAGTAACACATGTGTTTGTGCTGAACAACTTCCAGAAATTTTTAACGGATGACTCTGTGCACCATTCTTTCCACAGAGAGCTGATATTTGAAGAAGTATTTTCATTAGTTCAAGAAAAATATGATGTATCTATCCCAAGCACCACTCTTGTTCTTAAATGTATGTATTTTCATTTGTGGAGAAGCTATACAAGGTAGCTGTGTTCATCATTCTACGGTAAGAATTTTAGCAATATTATTTTAGCTAAGAAAGTCATTTTAGCTTTCCTGATGTATTAGAAGCTTGAAAATATAAACTATACAACAAAAATAATTTATGTAACAATTAAAATACTTGTTTCAAGAAGTTGAGACTTCTTAAATGTTACATCTTAAGATAAAAACTATAAAGTTAAGATCAACTTTTAAAGAAAGTTCTCAATTGTTTAAAGATATTTTAATTCTCAGCTTTCCTATTACATTTGATAATGAAACATCTGATGGGTAATAAAAATTACTTTTTAAAATGAAAGTTAGTCTTTAAACCATGACATTCCAATAAAGGCCTGTAGGTGGTTAATTAGGTTGCAAGAATATCTTATCTAAAACAATATCAGAGTGACAGCTAGCATGGGGTATGCAATGTTATGAACAGCTGAGAATTTGAATGCCCATATATTTAAGTGTTGGTTTAAATTTTTAAATGTTAAAAATGTACCACTATATCAAAACCAAATGCCAAGATTCTGTGGTTGAAACAAGAAAAAATTCTAAGACAGCTGCACAGATCCTAATGACTGAATTCTTTAGCACTGCTTACTAAAGTTTAAGAGCCCTACTGAAAAGAGGATATCTGTAACACTTTTAAACAACATCAAGTATGGCAGTTGTTATAGAGGTGTGAGAAAAAGCAAGAAATTTAAAATAGTCTGAGTAACAAAGTACAAGGTCTTTCAAGGGCAAATATCTTTGTAGTATAGTTAGTTCTATACCAGTCTTTCAGAGTCTAGAAAATGAGACAAACTTGTCATAGCTTTCAGGAGTACTGTGGAATAGACAACATTAGTCAAAGACTGTTTTGATAGTGAAGAGACTAATCACATGCAAACCGATAGAGATACTTTTTTTTTTTTTTTTTTGGTTTTTGGAGACAGGGTTTCTCTGTGTAACTTTGTAGCCTGTCCTGGATCTTGTTCCATAGACCAGGATGGCCTTGAATTCCCAGAGATACATCTCTGCCTCCCAAGTGCTGGAATCAAAGGTTTGTGCCACCACCAGCACTGGGCTAATAGAGATACTTTCTAATGTCAGGTGTTATCATCCTTTTAATGATACCTGTTACTGATTTTTGCAAATCAAAATCCCATAATTCAAAATTTTATCAATGATAACATTAAAATCTATGAGCAGTTATCTTTTTAATTCTTTAACTATTTTATATAAAAGCAAATCTTCCTACACATTTTTTCCTATAATTTTAAAGAGTTGGTGGCAGAGGTTCACTTGGCTAGAGGTATTAGGGAGATGTCCGGGGGATTTCCTCAGTCCTTTTCACGGTGCTGTCATGTCCTGTTAGGTGCGAGTGTGCAGAGTAAAGATGAAGTTCATGGGATCAGAGGAGGGAAGCAAGTCCTAAGCAGCTTTGTTTGGAGTTTGAGAGGAAAAGAGACGATGCAAGCGCTGAATTATCATGCACTTACTGACCCAAACCAAACTGTACCCTTAAGGGTTGTTTGTGGGAATTTAAACTAATTAGGTCAGCATGTATTTTAAGTGATCATCTTCTCTGTATATTTCAAGTTCCAGTCTGTTTTCTGTAGTCTTCTTACTGTGTATAAGGTCTGACAGCATATTTTCATGCATTTTTCTCATTTCTATTTTACAACTTGAAGGATTCTCTAGTAGGTAACAGTGCGGCAGATAAAACTATTCTCAAAGATGAAAATCAAAGTAACCCTGCTGTGTACAAGGAAGACTGTAAGGAGTCACGTGATGCTAAGACCAAAGTGACCCGAGAAGAAAAACATTTTATATGTAGTAAGTATTAAAAATTACCACAATGATAATGAAATCAAACTTTGACACAGAAAAAATCCTTCATTTTATATGGGTTATTTTATATATACCTTATCACCCAAGGCTGGACGCTGTCTGTGTTTGACACTTAATAAGTATGTGCTTAATAGATATTTGTTAAGTCAACGCAATCTTTCTTCCAGGGAGTCCAGTGGCATCTATAGACCACAGAAAGAAGGGCAAGCCAGAGGGCTCTGATAATGCATTAGTTTATGAGGGGCTGTTTTATTTCCTGGTTCAGCGTCCTGGAAACTTCACCTTAGTCCCTCTCCCAGGGTATTTCTAAAATCAAACACATTGTTACTGAAAACTACAACAACTAATGCAATAAATACAACACAAATCTAGTCATTTAATGTAGGAAAGGATCACAATTAGAGTTTTAGTCTCAGTATAAGAGTGATTTAGTCACAATACAGTAATTCTTATAATTTATTATAGACATGGGGTGCAGTGAAGAACGGCAACCTGAGATGGGTGGAGCTGATGACTTGACCCAGGTCCTCTGGGGTAGTCATTTACAGGTTAGAGTGCAAAAAGCTGACTTAAATCTGCTTAATTTCTGTGTAACATTGCTGTGGATATGGCTCTGTATAAATAAAATGCTGATTGGCCAGTAGCCAGGCAGGAAGTATAGGCAGGACAAGCAGAGAAGAGAATTGTGGGAATAGGAAGGCTGAGGAGGAGACTCCAGCCTGCCGTTCAGGAAACAGCATGTAAAGGCAACAGGAAAAGCCACGGAACACATGGCGACATACAGATTAACAGAAATGGGCTGAGTTTAAATGTAAGAGCCAGTCAGTGGTAGGCCTGAGCTAATGACTCAGCAGTTTCATTAATATAAGCTTCTGAGTGATGATTTTATAAGCAGTTGCAGGGTCCATGGGGCTGGGCAGGACCAGAGAAAACTTCAACTACATAACATAAGTGTTCCAAGCTCCAATCTATGGATTTGCTTTGGTCCCATTAAGACAGGTGTTTAAATTCAGAGAAAAAAACTAAGAAAAAGTGAGAGACTGAAAATAAAAATGAGAGACGAAGATGGATGAAATAGACTCTAAACTGTTAGAAATTATTAATGTCATTTTACTGCTAGGGTGAAATAAACTTAGAGATAAATACCATTTTAAAAGGTATTCATGAAATAACATGTAGATCTTTTTTGCTGAAGAGGATGAATGTCATTGTCGTAGGTAAAACTTTCTCAGTCTGAGAAGCAGAGGTAGTTGATATTATTTTGAAATATTTTATTTTGATTTTATGTGTGAATGTTTTGCCGGCATGCATGTATGTATGTACACCGCATGTGTGCAGTGCCTGAGGAGGCCAACAGCTGTTGGATCTCTTTAACTGGAGTTACAGCTGGCTATGAACCACTGTGTCAGAACCAGAGCTGAGTTCTCCGCAATAGAAGCCAGTGCCTTTAATTATTGAGTCATTTCTCCAGCCCTGAGGATTTTTTTTTTTTTTTGGTGTTAAAATTATTAGAGATCGGGCTGGAGAGATGGCTGAGCGGTTAAGAACACTGACTGCTCTTCCAGAGGTGCTGTGTTCAATTCCCAGCAACCACATGGTGGCTCACAACCATCTGTAATGAGATCTGGCGCCCTCTTCTGGCTTGTGGGGACACATGCAGGCAGAATACTGTATACATAATAAATAAATGAAAATTTAAAAAAAAAATTAGAGATGATGAAACATGATGGCAACATGATCTCAAATGCCTTAAGGGAAAGTATGTTTAGTGTTTGTGCAGCCTTTTTAAAAATAAGAAATGCTGAATATTTTCTATGAAATCAAATGGTAATGTATTGTGTAAGTTCAGCCAGAAACTAACAAACTGGAATCGTAATGTTTTTATATTTATTTATTTATTTATTTATTTATTTATTTATTTATTTATCTATCTATCATCTATCTATCTATCTATCTATCTATTTATTTATTTATTTATTTATTTATTTATTTATTTATTTATGAGTGTGGTGTTACCACATAGGGTACATGTAAAGGGGTTAGAGGACAATTTCCAGGAGTCAATTCTTTCCTTCCACCATGTGGGTCTCAGGAATTGAACTCAGGTTTTCAAGCTTAGTGGTAGATGCCTTACCCACTGAGCTATTTTGGTGGCCTCCAAAGCTTTGATTAAGATTTATTATGTGTATGAATGCTAGTGACTTGGTTTTAAATTATATAGTATTAGAAAAAATAAAACAAAGATGTATTTTTTAAATTAACTGGCCTGGTATGCAAGTAAATTACAATTGCATTTTACTTTATCATGTAATAGTAATTAATGGATAAGAAGACTGACACAAGTCACATGTATGCAATCCTAACATTTGAGAATTTGAGAGATGGAGGCAGGAGGATCAGGAAGGGGTTAAAAGCCAGCGTGGGCTACATGAGACCCTGTTCCCCACTTCCTATACTTCTTGCCTCTAAACTTCTTTTTTTTTTTTTTTTGGTTTTGGTTTTTCGAGACAGGGTTTCTCTGTGTAGCTTTGCGCCTTTCCTGGAACTCGCTTTGGAGACCAGGCTGGCCTCGAACTCACAGAGATCCGCCTGCCTCTGCCTCCCGAGTGCTGGGATTAAAGGCGTGCGCCACCACCGCCCGGCTGCCTCTAAACTTCTTATCTCATAAAGTGAGAGTAGGCATTAAGAATGTTGTTTCTTAGTTAAATAAATCATTTGAGGGAATCTATATTATCAGGAATCATAATTTCATTAAGAATGTTGAAATAATTGCTTTTTGGCCAATCCCATTTTAAATAAATATATTCTAACTAAAACATACAGTTATAGGTTCAGATAAATTCAGATACTTTTCTTTATTCCAAATCATGTGAAATTCATTGTTTTCACTCTAACTGTTTTATATAAGAATGTCATTTTCTTTCTGATTAAGGAAACCTGCAAAATTCTATTGTTTCTTATACAAGAAGTACCAAAAAACTACTGAGAAATATAATGGATGAGCAGCAAGCGTCTCTGGATTATTTATCTAGCCAGGTATAGAATTCTTTTGGCATTTCATTGCATGGCATGTGCACATTGGCACAGCGGCTGGAAGCACAGTCTTTTGATTTTATGTATCGATGTTTAATACCGACGAGGTGAGAAGCATTGTAACACAGAGCAATCAAGCAGGCCTTTGCTCAAGGGGGGTGCAGTCTGGTGACGAGAAAACAAACATGGAAAAATAGAGATAATCTGACTACTGTCAGAATGACATGGGAAGTCTCTCAGAAGACAGAGCCTGTCAGCTGAGCACTGAGGGATGAGTGAATGCTTTAAATGCCACAAGATTGGTAAGGAAGGAACAGCATTCCCTCTGGGGGTTCTCAGGAGTTGGCACAGGGTGGGAGCGCTGGTGAGGTTGGGAATGAGTAAGGAAACCTGACTAAAGGAATCAGGAACTAAAGCTCGCTACACTACGGGCCACCGAAGTGTGTGAGCAAGGAACTGTCTTCACCCCTTAACAGCTGGTGTGGAGGATGAAGAGGGCAGAGCAAAGGGAGGCAGCGAGGGAGGCAGTGGTGCCGTGGGGCAGTGAGAGCAGAGCCGCGGGCGCAGATGGCACAGGGTGATGGCAGAAGGACAGCGCTTAGGAGGTGCTGCTGGGTGGCACCGTCACTACTTAGGCCTTTATTGTGTTAGAGCAGAAAGAATCCAGCCTAGAAGAGGAGGCATGCTTTTGGTTCAGGGAGGCTTAGAGACAGCGTTTATATAATTCAGCTAAGTATAACCTTGCCTCGTGTGTCTGTGTTTAGGTTAATGAGCTCATGAATCGAATTCTCCTTTTGACTACTGAGGTTTTCAGAAAACAGCTGGACCCCTTTCCTGCCAGGCCCGTTCAGTCACATGGTGAGAGTACTGGTATTTCAGCCTCTTCACAGTTCTGCTTTATTACTCAAAGTTTCTGGACAGCCCGGTGCGCTGAAGTTTTAGAACACACTGTTCACTGTTTCCTAACAGTCTGGAAGACTAGTACCTGCTATTAGGCCAGTTACACAATGTGCCCTTTCTAGGCTGAAGGACTTTTCCACTGTTTGAAAGCCATAGCTGTAAAATAATATTAGGGATCTGTTGAACATTGAGTAACCTTAGGTGCCGTGTTCTGAGCACCCCGCCCTGGCATTTTATTAATAATTACTTTTCATACAGAAGAGAAGCTCCAGAGTCCCTCCCACCTGTGAAAAGTGGTTTTTTTTTAAAAGATGTTTCAATGTGGGATATAAAATTTTAAAGGAAAAAGAAATTTAATACAGAAATAAATACAAAGTTAACTTTTTTGCACTAAAATGTAACATTTATTTCTACATGTTTGTGCTTCTAAGAAAGTGCTGTGTAAAACTTAAAAATATGAATTCATATGAAAATTCTAAGCAAATAAATATTACTGAGGCTCAAGTATGTGATCCTAAGTATTTCTTGGAAGTGGGAGGGAACAGACAGGAACCGAGTATCTCCTTGTTCCTTTATGAGGACAGGCTCTGTCCTGTGTTACTTTAAAGGACTTATTCCGTCACTACCTCAGTGACAGTGCAAACTGTAGCTGAGCATGAAATCCAGTGTCAGGCTGGTCCTAACCTCCAAGCTGCTCGTTCCTTGGTATTAGTTTCCTCAGCAGTAAGTTGAAATCCTTATCTGCCTTTCCTCACTGTGGTCTCCAATACCAGACAAAAAGTGACTCACAGAAGGCAAGGGTCATTTGATCACAGTTTGAACGTCCGCTCCGTCACTGCGGGGAGGCATGGCGGCAGGAACGTGAGGTAGCTGGCCACTCTATCTGCAGTCAGGAAGCAGAGAGAGAGAGAGAGTGCGGGGCGGGGGCGGTCAGCTCGCTTTCTCCCTTTTATTCATTCTGGCACCCCAGTCCATGAACATGGTGCCACCCACATTCAAGTGGCGTCTTCCCTTCTCAGTCCAACCTTTCTGGAGTCCTTCTCATGTGCACCACCATAGGTGTTTGTCTGAGGTGACTCTAAAGCCAGACAAGTTGGCCGGAAATGTAAACCTTTGCAAGTCTTCCAGAGTTGCTGTGAGGGGTTGATGAGTAAAATCACCGAAAGTTCTGAAATGACCTGTGATGCACAGTCAGAGCAGCACAGACTTGCTCTAATACCCTCGGGTCAGGTGACGAACACACAACCCAAGAGACCAAGAAGTCCCCTGTGGCTTCCCCACACCTCTGAGCACAGCTCCATTGTAGGAATGCCTCTTCGCATCTCACTGCGCAAACCAGAAGCAAAGGGAAGGCGACAACTTTTTATACCTATTTTTTTTTGTTGAGTTGTTTTCTACAGATTAATGTGTGGTAAGCTGTGTGCTAAACGCTTGCCTTTTAAACCTTCAGTAAAACACTATGACACAGTAGTGTCATCATTCCTATGTTAGGTAAACATTCTAAGGCTTCCAGTGGTTAATCAATGGTTCCTGGCTAAGAAGTAATAGTAGTCACCTGAGGAAGTGATGCTCTGAAACTTGTTTTTGGACATGATATTTTTGATTGAACCCAGAGCTGCATGCATGGTGGGCAAGTGATCTATCAGAAAGTTACCCCCAGACCCCATAAGGATCTATTAAGTTGCTCAGGCTGCTTTGAACTATGTAGTCAGGACAAGCTTTCCTGCCTCAGTTTCCCGAGTCACTGGGATCACAGGGTTGGAGTTATTTAATTACACTTACAACATGTACACTAGAAGACATTCAAATAGAATGTAATACACCTTGGCATATTGGCATTACATACATATATTTACAATCCTCTGTGGAACTGAATGCTTTGGAGGTGGATGGGGTGCTGTGGATATCACTCTATATAAATAAAACACTGATGGCCAATGACCAGGCAGAAAGTATAGGCGGGACAAAGAAAGAGGAGAATTGGGAAAACAAGAAGGGGGAGGAGAGACACTGCAGCCACCGCCAGGACAAGCAACATGTAAAGACGCTGGTAGGCCACCAGCCACGTGGCAAGGTATAGATTTATAAAAATGGGTTAATTTAAGATATAAGAACAGTTAGCAAGAAGCCTGCCATGGCCATACAGTTTATAAGTAATACAAGCGTCTGAGTGATTATTTTATAAGTGGATTGTGGGACTGCGGGGCTTGGGGAACCTGGAGAGAAGCCCTCCAGCAACAATGGGGGGTGGGGGTGGGGCTACAGCTTTAACATTTGTAGATAGAGCACACACTGGCCTCACTTAGTTTCTTGTTAGTGAAGAAAGTGATTTCTTCTTCTTCCCTCCTGGTTATTGGTATTGGCAACATCAACACACTAGAGTCTGAAGTTTGGAATAAAGTAGTCAAGGATGTGTTAATCACAATTAACCTACTTATTCCTTAAGTTTTCTCCTTGCTAACCATCCTTTATATATTAAAGATAAACTTGGGTTAACTTAGATTCCTTGGAAAAGAGGATTATAATTATACAGCAAGTCTCCCAAATGAGATTTTAAAGATTTATTTTATTTTTACTTATGTGTATGTGTGTGAGCCTGTGTGAGTTTATGTGCACCACATGCCTGCAGGGGACTAAAGAGTGTCGGATCCCCTGGAACTGAAGTTACAGACTGTTGTGAGTCCCTGTCTGGGTGCTAGGAATGTAACCTGGGTCCTCTGCAGGAGTAGTTGGGCTCTTGATTGTTAAGCCATCACTCCAGCCCCACTATATGAGGACTTTAAACAATAACCAGTCACTAAAAGGGTATTATTTGTGAGGGGTTTCTGCAGCCCAAATTCTTTGATTCCTGTTCTTTCATATGTTTTCTCCTAAAATCTAAAATTGTGGTAATTTTTCATTTGTAAGAAGTTAAAGGCATGGTATCACTAATAGAAGCTGTAGCAACAATTTCAGACAGCATTGTCAGTTCTCTGCTATTAACTGACTGTCTTAGGTACAATTGAACATTCACTAAATGACTCATTTTATTTTCCTAGGTTTGGATTGCACTCATATTAAAGATTCAATTGGCTCTGCCACCAAAACCCCTAGTGGTTTATATATAATCTTTCCAGAGGGATCTAGCTACCCATTTGAGGTAAAGTTTTCCCTTATTATACAGAATAAAGTAAACATCAAGCTAACTTTGTTAATATTTAAATTATAATTATTTAAATATTTATGTTTTAAATATTTTTGTCTTAAAAATTTTAAATAAATTAGCAAGATTTGCAGTTTGAAAAGTTTGGTTTCCTTGACATCTTATGCTCAGACTATGAATTTCAGTGTCCTAGTGTTCATAGTTACTCTTTTTAAAGGAAATCCAGTTGTTGCAAGGCTTTATGCTACCATCGTGGGGACAGAACTGTAACAATATAAATCCTTGCTTCAATTAGTCAATGGAGACTTGATAACAATGATGTGCTGTGACGTGGGGCTTACCAAAGAACTTTTACTGTGCTTCCGTCTTATAACTGCATTTTCTTCTGATGATATATTATTTTACAGTGTGAGAATTTGTTTCCAAAATTAAAAAAGAAATTAATAGAAAAGGCATTTTACTTAGGCATAAGGAAGATTGATAAACTGATCCATGCTTAATGTGAATAATAAGAATTATCCTTAGTACTTGTCTGCTTGTATTTCTGGTAGGTACCTACTGCACACAATGCTTATGGACAGAAAAGACATGTGTGTATATACATATTTTTTTCTGGGTACTTTCTCAGTGTCTAAAAAATTTATGATCTTTAAAGTTTATCAATAGTCTATATTGTACAATAACAACCTTTCTTTCTAAGTAGATGCAGAGTTTCTGTTCTTAGAATTTTTACCATAATTTCTCTTGAAATTTATTGACAAGATGTCAAAAAATTAGGACTTAGGTGGGAAATAATTTAGAAAGTACCTGAGTCTCTTTGCCTACACATTCAGAACTGGATCTGAACAGCGGTGGAAGGGGAGGCTTGTAACTTTTCCAGGAGTGGGTTGTATAATTACCTCTTCTGTGGAAAGTGCTGGTGCTTGAGCTTCCTCCACATTGCCTTTTTTCCTGTCTCTGTGTGGGAAGTCTCTGGGAGAGTGGATTACTTTGATTTCTTCCCTGTTGTTTCTGTGGGCCCCAGGCAGGTGCATGTCACAGTTTCAGCAGACGCCCCTGTGAGCACTTGCTGGGTGGGCACAGTTCATGCTTTTGGTCTTGAAATGTCAGTCTGAACACCAGTTTGTGAGAGGAAGAGAAACCAGAGGTGGGCAGACAACATATTTAATACTAAAAAACAAAACAAAACAAAACAACAACCCCCCCCCAGTATTATAATTCAGAGAACAAAGTCATTTGTAAAGCGATCCATCTCTGCCATAGCATGTCAGCACTGTTATTCCTGAACTGAAAAAAAATGTTTAGAGTTGAGGAATTATATGATAACCTTAAAATAATACAAACAGTTATGTCTTTTTAAAAAGTCACTCACACAAGGCTGAAGTTAGGTTAATTATGAGTTTGCCTAAGCAGAGAGTTAAAATATAAATGCATTCATGGGAATAAAAACTTTCTTGTGTTTATTTTTCTATAGGATCATGGATGAGTTCTATAATGTCAAACAATGAAAACAATGTTGTATTATTTTGGCATTTTCTGGGCCCATTTTAGGTAATTTGTGACATGGATTTCAGAGGAGGAGGATGGACAGTGATTCAGAAAAGGATGGATGGGACAGTTGACTTCCGGAGGCCATGGTGTGATTACCTGGATGGATTTGGAGACCTTTTAGGTCAAATGTTATGTGTTGATGCTTTGCCTTTTCTCCTTCTTTCTGGTGTGTTATTTCTAAACTGTAACAGCATTAGTCAAATCTTCAGTAAGAGTGGTAAATCTACGTGAATATAAAAATATGATTTAAATTCTATTTTTATATGCCAAATTATTTTTAAAAATGTTTTCAGTTAAGTTAATCTGGGCTGGAGACATGTCTTAGCAAATAAGAGTCCTGGCTCCTCAAGAGGACCTGGGTTCAACCCCCAGCTCCCACATGGCAGGTCACACTGTCTGTAACTCCTGTTCCATGGGATCCAGAATCTTCTTCTGGCTTCATGAGCCCAGGAACACACAAGGTGCACAGACACACATGTGTGCGAAATACCCATAAACACACATTTAAAAAAAAAACTACAACTTTTTAGAGATGAATTGAAATGTGATTGGAGTGAAAATTCTCAGTTGGGTATTTGTTATCTGTACCCAGTAGCTTTGATAAGTGCTTCCCAATTGTTTGTGGAACAAGGAAAGAAAAAAAAAGGAGGCAGGATTGTCATAGACTTAAAATACAGTGAAATATAAATAGAACCAAGGCAAATGACCATTAAAGTCAAATCATTTAAGTTGAATGTAATTTTATAAAACTATGATGTACATTACTATTTTCTAAATTTGAAGAGTTTTAACTAAGAAGATCTAGAGGCAGACACTGTTTTTGCAAACTAAGACTATTCTATATTTAGTACAATTAAAATACATTGGGGATTTAATAAAATTTGCTGTTAGCTCTTAAATATGAAGTTGGAGTAAAACTGAAAGAAGCTGAAGACAAGTAGAGACTATGAAACTAACAGCTCCATAGGAGCCCATCCTACAAGGTGTCCATGTTTTCTTGTACTTATTCTTTTCAATTCTAACAGGGTGGTAGCTAAAAGATCCATGGAAAAGAACTTAGTATCTTAGTCATAGCTTTCTGAGTTTTGATAGTCTGTCTCATTATCTTCTAACTCTCTGAAATTTTATACCCTGTAATTTCATAATTTAAGTAGGCTGTATCTCAGGAATGTCCACATTTACTATAATCCATTATGGATATGGGGAAATAGAAAGTCAGTGGCTAAAATGTGCATGCAAGAACACTGTCCGAATTTGGGAGATCTGTTAATATAATCCACAGTTGTCTTGGAAATATTGACTCTAAATCTGGAGAAGCTTCAGTGTGGCCACGTTTTGTTTCCACTTAGGTAAATGGCAAGCTGCTTTTAAACAAAGAAATATTTATTTATAAGGAATTTCCAAGGTAGAAAAAGCAATTTTAACCGAGTGCTTTCAGGAAGTGTTTCTTAAGGAGCAGCTGATTTGAGATTAAAACTCCTACATTTACTGGGTCACTTCATTTGTTAGTTGCTGTGAGATTTGAACACGTTTTTCTGTTGACATGCCATAAACGTAAAACTTGACTTTTTAGTCTTCAAATTCACTTTTAAGTTGAATTTGGGGAAATAAAAATGAGACAGTTTGATTCTGTTCAGTCTTGTGAATTAACAAAATAAGTAAGTTAGATAACAGCCGACAGCTGAGTTGAGGCAAACCCTCTAGAGTCCTGGTTATTGATGAGTCCTCTCAGGTACGGAAAAGCTAAAGAGCATCAGCATTCACTAATAAAAGCTTGTTCTCATGTGCACTAAACGTATTAAAACAAAGCACTTCTTTTACAGGAGAATTTTGGCTAGGACTGAAAAAGATTTTTTACATAATAAACCAAAAAGATTCTAGTTTTATGCTTCATGTGGCCTTGGAATCCGAAGATGACACCTTGGCTTATGCTTCATATGAGAATTTTTGGCTAGAGGATGAAACACGATTTTTTAAAATACACTTAGGACGATATTCAGGAAATGCTGGTAAGTTTTTAATTACTAAAATGACACAAAATTGAGGTATCACTTGCCTAGTATTACATAAAGATAGAAATAATGCAGGACATATGATGATGACATGTAGCTGATGACAATAGAGCACAATATGCAAGTCTGAAAGCCTGTGGTGCCCACTTTGCTTAATGACCTTGGAGTGTTTGTATCCTTTAAAGCAGTTTACTCTGACCCTGGTGGTCTTGTGGGCAGAGACCCTGAGGCAGGCTGAGTAAGCAGCATTCCTATTTTCATGCTCAGGGAGTAAGAGCTTTCCAACTTTGTCAGTGAAGAAACCTGAAAGAGAAAGTGTCTATTCCAAGACCTGTGGATCACACCTCTTCCATCCAATCCTAGTCCACAAAGACACCCAAACAAGTTCTTTTTACTCTCCCTTGATGCATTCCCCAAAATTTAACTCATCAGAACTTCAGAATACTTGATGATGACTTTGTATTTTGGAGCTGAATTTTTAAAGACATTTGAGTGAAGAAATACTAAATCCTGTTCCTCTGTTTTTTTTCCTGATGGTGTACTTGTTGGTTATATATATTAGTGTTAGAAGTTCACAATGAATGCTGTATATCTCTTGGCTGTCAACTAATGTTGACACAGAGGGAAACATAAACAACACTGAAAACAGAAGACTGGTAGAACTTTAGCTTTAAAGAGAACGTGAGAGTAATTGCAACCAGGAGATTTTTGTGGGAGGATGGGTAGGTTTCAAAATGAGATGAATATTAAAGTTACTTGGAAATACATATTTCTGCAGAATCTAGTTCAGTCACTTCAGGCCAGGTGGATATGCCAGCATCCTGAGAACTGAAGACTCAGACTTGGAAGAAAGGACAGGTTTTTGGCAAGTGACTGTTGGCAAATGGGGCAGCTTGTATCACAGCATAGACAAGGAAATAGATGGCCGGCAGAGGGGCTGCTTGGTGTGGGTGGATTCATGGCATATTAGTGGGGTTGGTCTTGAGACATTAGGTGAAAGTTGAAAATCAAGTACAGATAGCTATGGGAAAGCTTAAAGGTTTTTATATAAAGTTTTCAGTGTTTACTTCCAAAGTGCAAAGAGTTGCTCAACATGGAGCATGCCATGTCAGGAAGCTTATGTGGAGATCTCTAAAAGATAGTTATGTTTTTGTTAGAGGATGTTTTATTTTCATTATAGAACTCTTAAACTTCCCATGGCCATTAAGTAGCTTTTAACTGTTGATCAAATTATACAGTTAAATTAAGAAAAGGAAAAGGTACAGTGTAGATAGATATGCAGGTAAAATGTGATCAGATACAAATTTGACATTGAGCTTGATGCAAAAATATAAATATGAACTTGAATATTTGAGCAGGATCATTGGTTCATAAGAAGTAGAAAAGGGCTAGGGAGATGCTCAGTCAGCAAGGTGTCCACTTCACAGGCACAAGGGCCTGAGTTCAGATTCCCAGAACCCACAGAAAAACTGTATTACAGTGCAAGCCTTGGAGCATTAGGGACAGGCAGATCCTTGAGTCCATTGGTTAGCTAGACTAGCCTAACAAATGAGCCAGAAAATAAAGATGGACAATGATCAAGGAAAGAGACATTGGGCCTACACACACACACACACACACACACACACACACACACACACACACACACACACCAGATATTTCTGATAGTAAAACTTGAGAGAAATTTCTGTGGGTTCTCAGAGAAAGCAGCATTGCAGCTTTGTCTTTGGGGTGACTAAAATACCTAACAGAGACAACTTAAGGGAAGAGGGCTTATTTTGGCTGGCAGTCCCGGAGCTGTTTCAGGGAGGATGTGGTGGAGAGCAGTCCACATCTGATGGCTCAGTAGAGAACGGCAGAGACAAGACCTAGCTCTAAGGTTGTGTGCCAGTGACCTGCTTCTACTGTGCCTCCTTGTTGTCATTTCACTATCTCTCAGTAATGCCTCTGTGTGGTGGCTCCACCAAGGAAGCCACCCACTCACTCATGAGGTCAGAGTCCTTTTGATGTGACTCTCCAGAAATGCATCCCAGGCACATCCAGAGGTGTGCTTTGCCAATCTTCTATCTAACGATGATGAAGGTTAGTGGCCAATCAGTTAAGTTCTGAGAGCCACGCTTATAGCAAATGTGGTGGGTATATTCTAATGGAATTTACACAGGAGTAATTGTGTGTGTGTGTGCGCGCGTGCGCGTGTTTAAAAAAGTGATTCAGTGTAATCCATTGAGAAGTCACCTGGTGTAGATTTTTCTGATGTTGAACTTTGTCAGTGGAGACTGTTCATGTCATGGTCATGGAATATAGGCATTGCTCCCTAGATGAATTGCAATTTTTTAAAAATTGCATTTTATTTATTTATTTTGTATATGTGTGCAGGTACATACATGCCACAATGCATGTGTTTAGGTCAGAGAACAACTTAGAGAGTCAGATCTCTCCTTCCATTATGTTAGTTCTGGAAATTGAATCTAGGCCATCGGGCTTGGTAGCAAGTATGTTTTCCCTTTGTGCCATTTTTCTGACCACACTGGGTGAACTTTGAAAGGTACCGCAGAGCACGGATGATGAAAATTATATTGCATTTGCAGATACACACTTCGGTCTGTGTGTGTCTTTGTGTGTCACAGTATGCAGAGTCAGGGACTTCACTAGCCAGTAGAGCTGGGCTTATGGTAGATCACACTAATGAAGTTCTTCAGGCTCCTCAAAATATTTACCTCAAGAGATCCCAAATGTTCAGAAGCATAATGAACAAGGGCAGGTTTGGGCTTCCTAGATGCTTCACATAGCTTCTCTTTTAGCTGAACATATTAGTCAAAAATTTCATGTAGGTAGGTATCCACTAAGAATCTTTTAACTTCATGGAACTGTATAAAACAAAATGTAGTTCCCGAGCCTGCAGTTTAAGTTTTAGCTGGAGTATTTTGGTCCAAGAAACTTAGTCCTTGAAGGATCTGGTGAAAATCAGGCATGCTAGTCATACAGTGTTCAGTATAAGCTCTTTAAAAATGATCAGTCTACACAGACTGTCAAGAACCATGAAAGCACAACTCCACAGTACACCAGAAATTGTCATGAGCACATTAGGCATGTCACAGGACGCTACGTCCCTGTTTGAAAACAGTGGTGCGATTGCAGATCTAATATTCTTGAGGGCAAATGCTTCACCTGCATCCATAATTGTCTTCCTAAAGTAAAAACCTACCATGGGGGTGGTGCTGAAGAGTCGGCTCACTGGTTAAGAGTATTTGCCATTCTTCCAGAAGACCAGCTTCAAAGCCCAGCACTCACATGGGGCTCACAACTGTCTGGTATTCCAGTTCCAGGGGATCCGACACTCTGGCCTCTGTGAGCACTCCATGCATGTGGTGCACAGACATATATGCAGGCCAACCGATTATACACATAAAATAAAAAATAAAAAGAATGTTAAAAACTCATTATATAACAAAAAGAAAACATACAGTGTGTAAGTTGTTTTCTTTTTTTAAAAAAATTATCAGTCACCATGTAGATCACCTTCAAGTATGACAGACACATGCACCATAATCTGGTTTTGTTTGTATAGCCGAGTTTCCATGCTGGTTGGTCTGTCCATTTAAAGACATATGCCAATTCTTCACAAGGTTTTGGCACATTGTGTGGGAGAGATTTTAACAGGACAGATAGTAGAAAAATTATTGATATCTGTTTCTAGATGCAGCATTTCTGTATAACTGGATGGTAGTAGTTGAGTGAAATAATAAAAATTCTCTGAATTCGCTTTTTGAAAATAATCCATTTTATGCAGGTGATGCATTCCGGGGCTTCAGAAAAGATGATAACCAGAATGCAATGCCTTTCAGCACCTCAGATGTTGATAATGATGGATGCCACCCTGCTTGCCTGGTCAGTAATCAGTCAGTGGAGAGCTGCAGTCACCTCCATAGCAACACTGGCTGGTGGTTCAACCAGTGCGGCCTCACGAACCTAAACGGCGTCCATCATGTTCCTGGAAAATTGCGTGTAACTGGCATTCAGTGGGGTACATGGACCAAAACCAATTCATTTGTCAGGATTAAATCTGTTTCAATGAAGATTAGAAGAACTTACAACCCATATTTTAAGTAATCTTATTTTAAATTGTAGCACAATTTCCAGAGTTACTTTTGAAAACATACTAAAATTTTTTTTACATAGTTTCTTATTTAGAGTTTAGTATTTAGCTAAAAATTCAATATAGATGGCATGTTAGTGTTATGTGTTTAATTAGTAAACCCATTTTGTAGCACTTATAAAAGCAATCATGGCGTATCATGGTATGTTTTCTATTGACTATATTAACATTATGTGATTGCTTGCAAGATGCATAGTGTTTTTAAAGGAACTTGCCTTCTGTTTGAGCATGTAAACCATAGTAAGTTGCTGGGAAAACTGAGGAGAGAATCTTAATTATTTCTATATCTATATGCTTACTTACATAATTTACAGATAATTTCTTCTGAACACAGTTACAAGAAGCAACACATGTGGATTGATACATTAACACCACAGGGTTAAAAAATTTTACCAACTGATACCACAATATTTTAAAACTGATAAGAATTTGCTGCTAAAATAAAATCTTGCATATTTTATCATAAATAGTAATTTTGTTTTTATTTGTAGTATATTTACTATACATATGCCCTGATCAGTTGCATTCTAGAATACTTGTATTTTAAATATTTTTAATTATAATTTTTAATGTTTTTTTTTTTTTAAAGTTTTACTTGGTAACTCAGCCATGCCTAGAACTCACTATATGGCCCGTACTATCTTGGAAGTCACCATGTAGTTCAGGGTGGCCTGGGAATTGTTGGCAATCCTGCTTCAAACTCTTGAGTGCTAGGATTATAGGTATGAGCCACTGCACCTAGATCTTGGCTCCTTTTAAACCAAGTGATGTGAACTCTAAGTGAAGTACAAGGTGAGCATGAGTCAGTGATCTAGATGTGCTTGGGAGAAATCCTGTTTTCTCCATGTTTTCTAAGTTGGAAGGAGATGAATGGTAAAGATACCATGAAGAAGATGGCAGGGAATATTCTGGGCCAGGTATCAATCAATTAGTGATGAATGAGGTGTGGAGAAAAGTAGAAAAAACATCTTAACAAAGGGCAAACTATTCTTTCCATATGATGAATCACAATACAAGAGCTTCCTTATAAAATAGGTACATGTCAAGAATAGCCATTGACATAATATGACTGGTCAATAAACAAATTTGTGTCATTAATTATCACAAAATTTATACTTATTTTGTTAGTATTTACCCAGTATTTGCACATAAGCTGATAAATGAGATCATTTATACCTTTGTAATATAAATTGATACAATCTTGCTGAACGAGTAGTCGGGGAAACAGTTTATCTATCTCAACTTTATGTATCACATCCGTACACATGGTTATGAATATCTGACCAGAGATGACCTTTAGTGTGTCCTAGGTATCTGACACTGTGATGTGTCATGCACGGACCTCTCAGGAAGAGTCCTGTGGTGTTAGGGTGATGAAGGCAGTTAAACTATATGAAGAAACACAGTGATATCACATATGTGTTAGATCTGGAAGTCAAACATAGGTCTTGGCTTTCTTGTCCTTTTCACTGAAATGCTGGTGAGGAGGGTGATGTGGATGCTCACATATGTCTGGTTCTGTCCTAGTATGCTTCCCCACACACTGTGGTATCTTGCATCAAATGTTCTTCTGTATAAAGAACAAATTGATCCTTATGTCAATTCTGAAACAGCTTTTAAAAGATGTTCTAATGGAGGAGTTTAGAAAGGCATGTGGTAATGTAACAGTTGATTGGATAAGCTTGAGCCAGGCTTGCTATTGGTGTTCACAGTGGCTCACTATCTGAGGAATGAAGTGAGAGGGTGGTGGGACCTGTGCTTCAAATACAAGTAGGCACATCTCAGAAAGTATGCAGAAGCAGAAGTGAGAAAAATCGATAATATCACAAAATCTAAAAGGCTACTTTTATTTTAGCGTAGTGATGTTGTTTTCAGTAAATCCTGAATTTAAGAAATCAAATATTTGTTATGTGTCACTAAGGAATTTAATGCACTAAACAGCTGTGAAAAGACTCAAGGCATTTAATTTTCCACAAATGTCGAAACATTTTTATTCAGTGAGGCTAGGCTTCTGAAATGGTAATAAATGGCATAATAAAAACTTTAAGGTCATATAAATTTTTTAAACACAATTTGAAAACATTTAATCTTAAATAATATTGTAAATTCATACCTGTATGTACGTGCTATTACAAAAAGTGTAGACAATCCACAGACAGCTCAAAATAATACCCACCATAGATTTAATAACACCAGGGAGAATCAGAGTAGCTGACAGCCTGGGAGTTAAGTACTTTATCAGTCTTCAACTACACACATACGCATGCAAACACTAGACCTACTTACTATTGTTCAGACAGGCCCAAGTTTAGAAGTGTGAATGGTTAAAATCAGGGGTTAGCAAAGTAGGGCCCATAGGTCAATCATGCACCATCATTTTGGTCAATAACTTTCACTAGAATGCAAGCACAGCCACTCTTTTCTGTCTGCATCTTCTTTCATGCTACAAGAACAGAGTTGAAGAACTTCCATTGAAACTGTGTGCATTATAAAGGGGTACCATCATCTATATGCAATATAAAGGGAGTACCATCAATTTATATACATTATAAAGGGGTACTATCATCTATATGCATTATAAAGTGAGTGCATCATCTATATGCATTATAAAGGGGTACAATTGCCGGGGGTGGTGGCGCACGCCTTTAATCCCAGCACTCGGGAGGCAGAGGCAGGCAGATCTCTGTGAGTTCGAGGCCAGCCTGG